TCTAGAATCTAGGTCATCCCTAGCCTATTCCATTGTTGAAGAACTCTTGAAGAAGAAGAATGACAACCTTCAATTCAAGGGACAATTCTAGAAGAGATCAACTATTGCAATCTAATTTGGTATTCTCTTATTGCTTTCATCTTCTAATTGTTGTTTGATTTCATATTGCAATGTTGAATTACTTAGCTATGCTTGGCTAGAATCTCTTGTGAATTGGATCTTATTATCTTGTGTTGAGTGTGATTGATCTATGGATTTGTGATGATATGCTTGTTGCCTTGTTGTAAGAGGACATAGTATGGACTCATTGGATGTGAGTGCACCACATTTATGTAGGTTTGAGAAGGATTCAGCTAACAAGAGATTGTAGCTTGATCCTAAGTTTCTCCCTCTTGCAATTCTCCTCTCAAGGAATCCCGCGGGACTTGGAGCGGAATGAGACGTAGACAAGGTGTTCGTAGGAATGCTCCTTAGGACCATGGTCACAGAATGGTGCTCCATACCAAGGAAATGCCTAGTAACCCGAGAGGTGAACGGTAGTTGGAATCATCTCACATAGGCTATGCACCACTAGTTGCATTCCTAGGTTGATTCACTTCACACACAGAATGCCTAGTAACCCGAGAGGTGAACGGTAGTTAGAATAATCTCACATAGGCTATGCACCACTAGTTGCATTCCTAGGTTGATTCACTTCACACACACAAGGGATAGGAATCCAATTCACCTAACTCCATACTTAATAGTTTCATTTCTTTTCTTTGCTTACTTGCATGTTCTCCCTTGCACAATGATTTCAACTAGCTTCCCATTACAATTGTGGACTTGTGTCTGACCTCACGACATTTGATTTCGATTGTCCATCCTTTGAGAACGACAATCCCGGGAATCTCCATTCCTAACCTTCTTTCCACCCCACGCATACTACGACTTGTCAAAGGTTGGGCTATATATATATAGAGGATTATATTCAAATACAAACCGTCCTTAAAATAAAAACGTGTGGACTAATTAACACCGTTTGATTTCAGATTTGGATGGTTAGGATTGTGTTTTGTTTTTTTTCGCTTGTTTTAATTAATCTTCAGTTTTTATTCTAAGTGTGGGGGTAGTTTAGTGATTTCATTGGTGTGTAAACTAGGCTGATCCGATTTTCACTCCACACACGCCCGGTGTTATTCTTGGTCGTCCGTAGAGCTCCCTCTCCATCCGCGCACTTTGCCGTTCTATCTTCGCATCCGGTGGTCTTCATTCTCCATCGCCGTCATATACTAAGCAATGACTATCGGTGGGGACCGCAATAGAGGCAAGCGCCGAGAACCACCTAGTCCGGGTGTCGGGCGAGGTAAAAATTTTCCCCCATTTTGGCGTTTTCTGTTTTCTTTTTTTTTTTTTTTTTTTTTTTGTGTCTGTGCTGTCGTTTTCTTTGGTGGTATGCATGCTCCTCGTAGTCGAATTTCTGGGTTAGGGGTTGATTGGTGGCCGGATTTGGCCGGATTTTGTATCGCTAGGTTTTTGTTTTTTTGGGGGTTTTCAAAAATAGCGTTTAGGTGTTTCAGTAGGGGTATATTTTTGTTGATTTTTCTTGAAAAATTTCAGATTAATTTCGGTCTTGAGGGCGGTTGTTTGCCATTTTTGGGTGATAGTATATGTGCCTGTGTGTATACGATATATTTATTGTAATCCTCAAAGGATGTTTTCTCCTTTCTACATGCTGACGATTTTCCCTAATCTTCAATATCAATGTTTCTTTAGAAATGCAGTACGTCATAGTACTGGTATATATTTGGTGTCTTTTTTGGTCCATGCTATATATTTGTTGTGCTTTCTTGTCCATGATTTAACAATATAATGAATGAGAGTTTTTTTTTCAATGATATATATGTATGTATTATGTGTTTGATGTATTATGTATATGTATGTATTATCTTAGGACATGGTTTTGTGTTCTTGTTGTTTTTGTTTCTAAATCGCCAGTCCTGTATGTAATATGCCATCATATCGGGGGTTGGGGGTGTTGCATGTTTCCTCACTCGTTTTATCTGCTGTTTTCTGTCCGTTTCGGCAGCTACTTGCAACTCAATTTTGTGGCGGTGGCTGGGTTATTACTATTATTATTATTATTATTATTATTATTATTATTATTATTATTATTATTATTATTATTTATTTATTTTCTGGAGTGAATCGTCGGGGTTGGGGGATGGTACAGCTGGGTTGTGCATTAATTGAGTATTCTAGGCAGTTTAGTGGGTTGGTGTTTGCTTAGCACGGTACCTCGGTCGTCGCTTCTTCGTGAAAACTATGAACTACACATCTATGAAAAATAATCACCTATAGTATTAGTGGCGGCATCTTGGCATGACAGGTGTGAAAGATAGTATATTTGTGTCCTTTATTTTGGTTGTTTAGCTGATTTGTGAGTGGCAATTCCCGTAAACCAATTTGACCTGACTAGAATTAGAAGTGAACCCTACTCAAAATTATGCCTGAAAAATGTCATTTTACATGCTAAAATAGCTAATTTTTCCAACAACAGTTAAAAGGAATTTAAAGTTATCGTAGAGCAATTGGGGAAGAAAGACCCAGAAACCAAAGCTTATTTGCCCAACTACCCTGCCAAATTTTGGTCAAAGGAATTTATGAGTAGAAGTGAAATGTGATGTTGTTGACAATAATGTGTTAAGGCATTTAATCAAACAATCCTCAAATGAATATTCAAACCAATCATCAAAATGTTAGAAGACATTATGGTGAAGACAATGACAAGGGTTGCAAGATGTAGGCAAAGTTTTTAAAAAATGGCATGGCAACTTTGGACCCAACATTATTAAGAAGCTGAATGATAACATACTTGAGAGTGTTATTGGGTGGCATGTAGATTTCAATGGATATAATGGGTACGAGATCATGAAGGTGAAGTTAGAAGGAAGAAGTTGCTCTTGCCATTTTTGATAAAGGTCAAGATCCAAAATAATTCATTCATGCATGTTACTCTAAAGAAGTGAACCAAAGAATTTGCAACTACACAATTCAACCATTGAATGGGGAGTAAAACTGTCCTAGAACAAACTATGAGGAAATCTTGACCCATGTACCATGAAAAATAGTTGGTAGAGCTATAAAGAAAAGAATAGTTGAGCCTAACGAGCCCTCATTTGGGAAAATGTCAAAGGCAAGGTAGGATTATGACATGTTCAAAGTGTAAAGAGAAGGAACATAGCTGGGTATTGTAATGCATTTATGTATTTTGGTTAGAATTTATATTACTGGTAGTAGTGGTTGTAAATTGTGACTTTTTGTGTCAAACATTGGCAGCTTTGTACTGCATCATTGTGACTGTTTTTGTCCAACATTGGCAACTATGTAATGGCAATGAACTTATTTTTTGGGTACTACCTATACAAACATAATTAGCATTTTTACTGTCAAACAAAACTGTACATTGCATCACTTAATTAAAAACATTTCACTCAATTAGTAGCATTCTTACAACAGAAAAGACATATCATGGTTGATGAGGGTTACAATGAAACACTTGCTTATGTGAGAACGTGAGAACAAATCGTGTGCATCCATCTAATATTTTTTAATGGTCTAGATTAGATTAAGCGTGTGCGAACGCGAATTAAATGTGTGCAAAAGTGATTAAGTGGGTTTACACACATTTAATTCGCGTTTGCACACACTTAATCTAATCTAGACCATTAAAAAATATTAGATGGATGTAACATTTTCCATATGTTATTATTATTATTATTATTATTATTATTATTATTATTATTATTATTATTATTATTATTATTATTATTATTACTAGTAGTTGCACCCGTGCGATGCACGGCCATGTTATTATGGTGAAATATATTAAAAATTGTTTTATTCATGATATATGTTTAATAAGGTTATAGACGTCACAAATACACAAAATATAATATTTTATTGATAAATAAATAAAACAATTACAAATTATTAAAGATTTCTTTATAAACTACATTTTGGGTCTTGTTTATAAGACCTCTAGATTCCCCACAAATTAAGACCTTAAGATCATCCGGATTACTGACCCGAGATACTGCAACATATAATTGGCCATGATTAAAAGCAGGTTTTTTCAATAACAAACCAACATGTGAAAGTGTCTGACCTTGACTTTCGTTGATTGTCATTGCATATGATAACATAAGTGGGAATTGCTTTCTTTGAAACTTGAATGGAAGTCTTGGGTCTGAAGGAGTCAAAGATAGCCTTGGTATCAAAACCTTTGTACCTGCGTTATTGCCAGCTATGATTTTCCCTTCAATAACATGATTTCCCAATTGTGTTACTATTAACCTTGTACCATTGCACAACCCCATCGAGTGATCTATATTTCTCAACAGCATAACTGGAGTTCCCATTTTCAGCGTTAAAGAGTGGTTTGGTACACTTGAGCACCTCAAGCTATTTAAAAATTCTGTTGTGTGTACCTGAGATTGCATATCAAAGTTTGCCTCAGCCTTGCAAACAGAATCACAACTCAAATATGTCCTTGATGGAGCTTGATTAATACCATTCATGTATTCATTGACCTCGTCAACAACATCTAATGTTGGAGCTAATATAGCTCTATTCTCTAATTGTCTTTCATCCATGTTCCCAGAACGGTATTCAGGGAATGTGCTTTCAACAATTTGTTTGATAGGATCAACCTCATTTTCTAATACAATGGAAGACGACATTATTATATTGCAATCAACATCGTTGTCTTCACCAAGATTACCATCACCTAAATCCGCAATCCACTTGGCAAAACTATCTAACTTCTCAACATCGTCTTCATTAGTAACACCTCGCAATCTTAAATTCTTCGTTAGACGAAGAACTTCACAATTATTCCACAAGTAAGATGAATTAATGCTGGCTTGTATTATATCTTGTCTAGTACCTTTCGGAATAACGGGTAGAATTTGTCTAAAGTCTCCACCCAACACCACTGTTTTCCCTCCAAATGTCATTGCTTAGCTCCTTGAATTCTTGAAACGCATTAAATCTCTCATTGTGCGATCCAATGCTTCAAAGCAATGTTTGTGCATCATCGGAGCTTCATCCCAAATTATTAATTTGGATTTGATTATCAATTCAGCAAGTGGACTGCCTTGCTTGATGTTGCAAGTGGAGTCTTCATTAACACCAAGCGGTATAGCAAACCTGGAGTGTGCAGTCCTACCTCCAGGTAGCAGCAACGAAGCTATACCGCTTGATGCTACGTTTAGAACGACCTCGCCTTTGGATCGTAAAGCTGCTGAAATTGTCTTCCACAAAAATGTTTTTCCTGTTCCACCGTAACCATATACGAAATACATTCCACCTTTCTCAGTTTCAACATCTCCCATCACCTTATTGTATATGAGTAGCTGTTGATCAGTTAGTTTCGGATGCAACGAATTATGTTGATGCATTAGAGCTTCCCTATCATATGACATTTCCTCTAACAACAACCTGTTACCACAAAACCAATCATTGTTTCCATCTGGCATTGGCATAGGTGGGTAATCTGATAGAGATTTGTTCCAAGCATTCAACAATTTCTCCATTTCAAGCAGCGCAAAATTCTTTTTTTGAGATTCATTCATATTTAAATCTACAAAATAAAAAACAAATGTAAGATGTAATGCTTTTAAACATAGATTTTAATAATAATATTAAAATAAATTATACCTGAGACTGAGAGGTTCCTTCTATAAATATATTCAGCATCATCTGATAAGTATTGCCAAACCATCTCCCAAACATTTTCTGGTTTGGACATCGAACTGGATGTTAAAAGGGTAACAAACAACTTTCGTAGTGAACTTGCTAACGACCAAGTTGCTGCCTCAGTGATTGCATCAATATACTCTTTATCATCTTCGATTAATCCGCGGGCATAACACGCATCTCTAAATGAATTGTATTGAACACCACCGACCTTTTTAATCTCATCAAATGAAGTCGGCCACGAACTATATTAAGTAAACATCTAAGATAAAAGATCTCACCAGTATTTGGTGGCACATAAAAGATTCGCCCAATTGCCCAATTTCTTTGCCTAGGTTGCCATTCTCTTTTATCATTCTTCCAAACAAATTTGGTTGGCATTTGTGAATAAGTCAACTGCCTCCCTGCTGCGTACTTTTTATTAGCCTCAAACCAGGCAGTAAACATGCTTTGAGCTACTGTTGGTCGATTTACCACATCATCGACCAAATCGTCGTCATGAAATATTATTGATTGCTCATTGGGAAGATGGAAACTCAATCGCTCAACAGATGGGTTCCTAAATTGTATGTCAAACCCAAAAATCCTCCACGCAGCCTCAGGGCGTGAAATATATCTACAGTCATAGTACATCTTGATTTCACTACAATTTTCCCAGTAGATTTTTCCACCCCACTGTTGTAGAATTCAGCTGTGACCCTATCATTCCCTTTGTTGACGTACTTGAATAAGTACTTTATTGATCTAGATTGGTTTCACCACTCCACATTAATATGAGCCTTGTACTTCATAAGCAAATATCTATTGTGTGGCACAACATATCTACTATCAAGGTCAATCCCATTCTTCCGTATTGTACGACCATTATCTCGACGCCGATAGATTGGATATCCATCAAAATCCACTGTTGAGTTTTCAACAAATTTTTTGGGGAAGAATTTAGAGCAAATACCATTTATCATGCAAGCTAAGTTCTTCCTCGCTGCACCACATGGACCGTGAATCATAAATTCTTCTACAGCTTTATAATACTCAGGGTCGCACAATTGACTTGGAATCTCAGCAGATATGATCATGTCAATATCTTTAGGATTAGGGTAAGAGTTACTCTTGCTCAAGAAGATCAAAATGTGAGCATGTGGAAATCCCCTTTTCTGGAATTCAATGGTGTAAATTACTGCAAATACGGAGATGGTGAAATTAGACCCACAAAAAATTGTCAATTATTTTAAGTATACGTAACAATGAAATATATTCGGTAATATTTATAAAATCACATAAATTACCTGCATCCACAAGTCCAAAAATCTTCTCGTTCTTAATGTCTTTTATGAGTGCATTTAATTTCATTTTAAACACACGGCATACTATATCTGGCCTATCTTCAGCTTTGAGTTTCCTTGGTTGTAAAAATCTTTCAATCTCAGGCCACTTAGGATTACACGTGAATGCAATTAATAGACTTGGATACCCGATCCATCTACAAATCGCCATTGCATCTTGGTAATTTTGCACCATATATCTTGCACCTCCTGTAAAACTCGATGGCAAAATAATGCGATTTCCTTGGGAAGTAGGATCTACCTCACCACGTGTTAACGCATCTGTCAAACATTTGTATGATTCACACCGAAGTGACTTTTGATGAGACCTAATATAAACCAAGCGTCCTGATTCTATCATGGTAAGCATCAACCAAATATTGTTGAAACAATCGTCTAGCATATAGCAATGTTGACATTTCATTGAACCTATCTTGCAAACAGAATGAAAAATACTCTCTTGGGCTAAGTTTACTCCGTGCATTTGAACTCCGGCCTTCAACATTATTAAACTGTATATCGTCTCGGTATCAGTCTTCACCATAAGGAAATAGTAGTGGGTACTGCAGTGGGAGATATGCTGGATTTAATTCAGTTATTCTTTGAAAATGACCAGCTTTAGACTCCACTAATATATCTCTTTCTCCCATGTTTGGATCTAAATCACCAACAATCAATGCCGCCACCTCCCCAACCTGTGGCAAGTTATATGTCCTTGCATCCTTGCTCCTTTTACCAATGAGTTTGATTTTAATATCAGCTCTATGATTACTTTCCATCTCTGTTTTGGCCATCCTAAAACTCTTGACCAAAACATTATTTTCATCCAGTGCATCCTTGATGTCTTTCACAATTTCACGATGCATTGTATTCGTTGACTCATCTGCCCTGTTTGAAAGAGACAAACACATACAATTTCATAATCTATTTTATATAAAAAATGATGTTCATTTCTTTAAATTAAAGAAGCGTACATAACTTACCCAAGTACAGTTAGACGATTTTCTATCTCATTTTGAGTATCATAAATATATAATTGAGCAAACTTTGGTCTTTCACCAGATTGTGGTAGTAAACTACCCATTAAGTGAAAGTTTTGACCATGTAACCTAAAAGTGGGCGGTGCACTACCATTGTTGAAAGTCCTGTCAATTTTTCCACCCATGGAAGTAAAGCAAAACATATTGTTGAAGGACCGAATGTTCTTCAAGAAATGGGTACTCTTTTGATCCTGGTTAAAGAACAACTGCCTGATTGCCATAGGTGGAATATTAGGATGCGACAACTTTATCTTGCCATGACTGTAACATAGAGAATATTTCGGATTTTGAACACCGCTAGATTTATTAACTCGCTCCTCTAACCAAAACATAGCTCCAGAGTGATCGCACGAGTACGTTTGATCACCAAGATCACTGTAATAATCTACCAAAAAAACAAATGTTATTACTATGTTTAGATAATAATGGTTTTTAATTGTATCTATACTCACCATCTCCATTTGTAGAGTTTGATGGTGTATCATGGACCACACTATTAAATGCTGACATCAAACCACGTTGCATTGAAACCTTTGGTGATGAGGTATTGTAATCAACAACGGACGATCTTGTTGTTTGAACTATAAGATGAAAAGAAATGTTAATATTCATAAAGCAATTTATATAAATTGACTTTTTAAAAAGAATTAAATTCATCTGGAAACTTTACCATTTGTTAGAATATGCAAAGGCCCTCGACTTTCATTGGACACCATAGGGGTACTTTCGAGCACGTTAGATTGCGATATCATTGATTGAGTAATATTTTGTAAAACTATTAAACAAAAAAAATTGTTTTAAATCTCAAATAAAAATTCAAAATATAGTATATTAAATGCTTAAAGATATATAATTTATTGTAGAAAATTATTTAGAAAGACCTCTAATTTGTCCGCTGGCAAAACGCTTTTTTTTTTTTTTTGTTTGAGATGTTGAATTAACACATGTATAGATATATAACGTCTCATACCATTGTATACGTTGAAAGATTATTTTGAAAGACCTCCACAGTGTATCCCAGTAAGACGGCTCTTATTTTGAGGTGTTGCATTGACACATGTAAGCTGAGATCTACCACTTGATAATTCTACTGCAATTGAACACTCTAAACAAAAAAATTCCAAAATGCTAACATTAATATAGGAAGATAATATAAATACTTTAAATTAAATGTACTATACCATAGAACCGACATTGCAATTAGAAAAAAAGTAATTACCACCAATCGCAATTCGTTTCGGCGTGTTGAATGTTCCAATTTCCGTACCATCATTTTCTGACATAAAAACAATAAAGATCTTATAACCAAAAAAATAAATAAGTAGTAATATAATTATTGATGTAGATATAGTTAATCCAATGATTATATAAAATATATTATTTATAAACTATTTTACTACAAAAATTAAAATATATATGTTTATTTAACAAAATTTATTTAACAAAAATTATAATTTAACAAAAATTACAATTAAATACTATCTTTTAAATACAATAAACACCATACATAAGATTGATTTAACAAAAATGAATATCGTACTATATAAAGAAGCATATGTACATAATAAGCATATTAAAATAATATATTCCACTACCTATATAGAATTTAACCATAAATAAGAATTTTATATATATATATATATATATATATATATATATATATATATATATATATATATATATATATATATATATATATATACCAAAAAAAAAATAAAAAGGATCGAAGTGTCCAGAAGTCTCACTTCTGGACACCATCCGATCATCACTCCCACTGTCTACGCATCGTCTTCTCTCTACGATGTCATCACTCTGTCTATCTCTCGCTATCTCTCTCTATCTATTGATCTAATCCAGATATTTTAGACGTTAATGGCGTCTGAATTTGGAATCGCCCTTATAAACGAAACTCCTTTTTGATTAGATCGCAGCCTATACTGTGATTGGCTTCGAGTGAGAGATAGAATTGGGCGAAACCCTAGATCTACTGAGATGGTTGGTTGTTTCTATGGATGCAACCTAGAGAAACCCTAGATCTGTATTACATAGCTATGGATGTACGCAGACGGGCTAATTTACAATTGCGTCAACCTTCTCAGTAGGGTTTCTTTTGAAGGAGCTAAACAATCGAATGAAGGTAAGTATTTTTCGTACTCAAACTTACTTAATCTTTACTATTTTTGCCCAAAAAATCTAGATGTAAATCGATTTTCAATTCGAATTATGTATGCTAAACTGTATGTCTGTATAGGTAGGGTTTTAACCTAGGTGAAATTGCATCTTAGTGTTATCTGTTGCACATTGATTGTTATTAATTTGCAGTCTCTAATGTGTAGATTTCTTATAATTAGCAATAAATAATTCTTTTTAACTTACCCCTACTATATTGTTATCCTTGTTCAACAGATTTGAAATCACCACTTTAAATTCATACAGATTTGAGTTAAGGTTATACAGTTTGTAATTGCAAGATAAAAAAAGTTCAATATGAATAGGAGAATAAAATTTTTTCTTGATTCAGAAACTGTGACAGTAATAGACGTTTTGATGAATGTTGATCAGTAGCGTACCTTTATTTGAAATTGTATCCTTCCTTTTGGCACCGATGACTGTTGATTTAGTTAACTTCCTCATTGATTTGAACTGCTTAATGTTTGGTAAGTGTTTTTCTGACAGTAGTGAGTTTAGTTGAAAATGAATTGTGTACTCTGCATTTAAATGTGAATATCTGAGTGTATGTGAGTGTCAAACATTAAAGAAAAATGAAATTCCCTAGAATTTTGCTGTTCCTTTATTAATGATTACTTCTATAGGGAAGCAGAAAAGACACATATTGAAAAGATAGGATTTATTCCCAGTATTATTAATCCTGCCATATGTTGAAATTAAGTTTTGATTCCAATAATCACCAAATTAGTATATGTGTATTTTGTTTTACAATTTTAGATCCAATCCTCTTTTAGAATCTCAGTTTATTTGATTTATTATTTTTTGTTTTTGAATAGACTTCATTTCTGTTTGAATTAATTTACTCAGATTCTAACATTTGTTTTCAAGGAAATGGCACATGATGATATGAATTTCTGATGCCATTAGATTTCAGAGTTTCCATTACCATTAAGTGTACTATTAAACCTTTTGGAGAGGAAAAAAATTCAGTATTTAATTTCACTACTGCCAAAGACCACAAATGAAGGCGTTATGGTGTACACACTTACGGTGCTAACCTTGTTGTCCAGATTTCACAATCTTGATGGGAATTTCCATTAGT